GCACCCGGCTGAGCCCTCAAGGGTTAACACATTGTTAATGCAGCCACACCTTATAGGGCAGCACGAATGGAGAAGACAGCATGGCAGAGAGAAAGACACAGACACACCCCCTGTGTGTGAGTGTGAGAGAGACTTTGAGACAGCAGCTGCTGCCAGCAAGCGCCCTCCACTCTGAGCCCTGTTGTGTCCCCCCCATCTCTGTGGAGATGGGGGGCAGGAACGGGGGAGGGGGACAGCCTGACAACAGCACCCCTCTGCCCTCCCCTGCACCTAGGGTGACCAGACAGCAAGTGTGAAAAATCAGGACAGGGGGTGGGGGGTAATAGGAACCTATATATGAAAAAGAGCCCAAAATTGGGACATCTGGTCACCCTACCTGCACAGCGAGCAGGAGGCTCCCGGAGCAGCTCCAAGGCAGAGGGCAGGAGCAGCACAGGGCCGTGTGGGGAGGGACACCTGAACTGCAGGCAATTTACAGCCTGCCGGGCAGCAGCCGCACAGGGAACTTAGGGGAGCTGATGCGGGGGCTGTCGGCCCACCCTGGTGCCCACCAGCTCGCTCCAATGGGCTGCTCTTTCTACAAGCAGCGGACAAAGCAGGTGGCTGCCAAACAACGCTATAAGGGAGCATTGGGCAACTTTAAACGAGCATGTTCTCTAACACACGGGCACAGCATATGAGGACAAGATGTGCCCGTGTATTCCAGCAGCAGTCAGATGGCGTGAGCAAGCTGCTGGGAGAAGCCCATGGCAACGTGAGAGCCTGCATGTATCAGTGTTAGAGCAGGGAAATTCCTACCTCAGGGGTCCAGGAGTCAAGTTAGCCATCAGCTTTACCCAGAAGAGCCACAGGGGTGTGAATTCATTAATTCATTTCCTATAGTACTATATAGTCATATTTAAACAGTATGGCAGGAAATATCTAGTGCCTATATTATTCTCACTGCAAAATGACGGTGCAAGTATTAATTTATCAGCTACAATTGGCTACCATAGCATAAGCATCCTGACTGGTTAATAATTAAATCAGTGTTTTAATAATGTGCTGCAAAGGGCCACAGGAGACACGATAAAGAGTCACTGGCAGCCTGCAAGCCTGAGTGAGTCTTACTGGTCTAACGTAATTCTTCAGCCTCAAGGGAGTTCACTGAACAAACTTCATCATCCCCCCACCCCCGCCTCCCGCCCCCAAAAAAGCCTGGAAATTCAACCCCAAGAGATTCCTTTGATGAAGATGGTGGGATGTTATAAGGTGCAGATACCCCAGCTCAGGGAGCTCCATCCCCGCAGGCTCAGACCTGGCTAGCAGCCTGCAGGAGGTGAGGAACTCATGCCGGGACCCATTACAGAGGGCAGCACTCATGTCACCCCTTGGTTCGTCCTTCAGGAGCCAGGTCACTGTGGTTGCAGCAATGAAAGGGAACAGTGACTTCTCCTCTTTCACCTGTCAGTACCCTCCCTGGTGACAGTCACTACAGCATTCGTCCGCAAGCGCCTTAGACACCTCCTAGCCCATACGAAAGGCAGGTCAGTCTCCTTTCATAGAATATCAGGGTTGGAAGGGACCTCAGGAGGTCATCCAGTCCAACCCCCCACTCAAAGCAGGACCAATCCCCAATTTTTGCCCCAGATGGCCCCCTCAAGGATTGAACTCACAACCCTGGGTTTAGCAGGCCAATGCTCAAACCACTGAGCTATCCCTCCCCCTTCCTTTGCCCCACCCCTTTCATCAGACACACCACCTGTACAGATAGGGAAACTAAGGCACAGATTAAGATCTGGTTTCTAAAGAATGGTTTCTATCTTTGGGTGCTCAATGGGCATCACCTGAAGACCAGGCCCCAGCCATCTCAAATCAGGTACTCAGACAGTGGAAATAACTCAGCATGAGGCCAACAGTCCTGCCTGTGGACATACAGTCAGTGAGATGAGCTGGATTAGAACTCAACACCACCAGAGCAGCACCCTGCCCCCAGAGGCAGGCAACGCCAGACTCATGTCAGCTCCCCCAAAAATGCTACAACAGTTCCACTAATGCCAAAGCGGCTCCATAACTCTCCAAGCTCCCCACTAAGGGAGGCTCGGACAAGTGCAGACAGAGCAGTTCGGTGCCCAGCGCCAACCAAGCCTCAAAACCTACCACCCCCAGCTGCACACAGGTCTTGCAAGTGTAACAGTTTTGCAATCCAGCCTTTCCCCACATGGCTACTGTGCAAGGCACGAGGGCTACTGCGCACAGCACCACGTGCATGGAGCAGGCGATGGCATGCTGAGGTGTAAGGCCGTTTCTGCCTTCCAGTGGCTTGGGACAGTTTGGGACCATCCCTGTTCTGAGCAGCCAGTTGTCCCCTTGGGGTGGGAAGGGAAATAGATAATGGAGCAAGATCCCCCCACCCCACCTCCAATCTTGAGTCAGGGGCTTTGGCCCTCTACCTACCCCTTCCTCACTCTTCACTTTGGTGAGCTAACACAGGCCACTTTCCCAACGCCTGTCCCATAGCCCTGAAGCCACCTATAGATCCCTAGAGACCCCCGGGACAAAAGCACAGGGGCACCTTATTGTGTTTTTCTGGGCAGAGGGCTCAGGAAAGCAGCAGGGGCCGCATGCTGCGTTCGCTGCAAGGAGGGGCAGGTGGGCTGCCTGGCATAATTAACAAGCGGGGCGGCACTGGCTCCATCAATAGGTCCCAACCAAATTTATGGCCCATTTTGGTCAATTTCACACTCCTGGGATTTTTAAAAATTGCAAATGTCATGATTTCAGCTATTTAAGTCTAAAATGTCATGGTGTGGTAATTGTAGGGGTCCTGACCCAACACGGAGTTGGGGGAGGGGGCAGTCATAAGGTTGTTGTAGGGGTGGTTGCGGTACGGCTTCTTCAGAGCCGGGCAGTAGCACAGAAGTAAGGCTGGCACAGTATGGTATTGCCACCCTTACTCCTGCGCTGCTGTGGGCAGAGTGCTGCCTTCAGAGCTGGGTGCCCGGCCACCAGCCACCGCTCTCCAGCTACCCAGCTCTGAAGGCAGCACAGAAGTAAGGGTGGGCAATACCACAAACCCCTAAAGTTACCTTGTGACCCCCTGCAGCCCCCTTTTGGGCCAGGGCCCCCAACTGGAGAAACGCTGGTCTCCCCCGTCAAGTCTGTAGAGTAGAGGGTAAAAGCACGCACAAGACCCGATTTCACAGTCGGGGACACATTTTTCCATGGCCACGAATTTGGTAGGCCCCCCCCCACATCAAGCCTCAGGAGACATAACCCAGTTCGGCTAGAGACTCAGGCCCAGGGGGACCCACGATTGCACAGGGGGAAGTGAAAACAGCAGCTCCTGCCACCCCTAACCCGGGCTAAGCAGCCAGCCCACCCACCTCCGCGCCTGGGGCTGCAGGCACGGACTCACCCCACGGATATCCCAGTACCCGAAAACCACCGGCAGGCTGCGCTGCGCTGCTTTCCTGCTGCTTTCAGCGACTGCTCCCGCGACCGCACCTGGCGGGGAGCCGGGGACTGGCGCGCGGCGGGGGGTTTATAACCTTGGCACAGCTGACGAGCAAAACCGAATTGGGCCGGGGGGAGTGTTAAAGAGGCTGCGCCTCCCAAAACCCATAGACACGCCCCCACAGTTGTTTTATTTGAATGGGCGATTCCGGGGGCTGGGAAGCAGGTTCTGGCTGTTTGGCTCTAGGCAAGGCCCCGATCCCCGCGCCACAGACTCGCAGTGGGGGGCGAAGCCCCGGCCCTGCGGGGCCGCCCCCGCTGAGCGCAGGGCAGAAGTTTGCACGGTGGACCCTGCAGCGCCGGGCACATGCCCCCCTGAGAAGCGACTAGCAGCGGAGCAGCCCGGCCCCACTTGGGGGTGTTGGCGCTGTGGGGGAGGGGGAAGGAAGGTGCCCAGGTAAAGCAGTTTCGCATGCGAGGTGCTATACACACGGGCCGGGGCCCGGATTTGTTCTACCCTGGGTTTTGTTTTAAACCCGACAGTGCCTCTTTAAATGAACCAATGCCCAGCGGACTCCGGGGTGGACCCTGTGCAGAAAGGGAGGAGGAGGGACCCACTGGAAAATGGCTAGAGCCGCTCACAGAGGAGATGTTGGTCTAAGAGGTGCTGTACAAACGTGGTGGAAGACAAAGAGCTTAAATCTAATGTCCTGGTATTTATATCATACTCATCACTGGGTTATCAAAGTGCCTTAAAGAATTAATTCCCCTTCACTCACCCTGGTGTAAACCAGGAGTAACTCCACTGGCCCTGATTCCCCCCTCATTCACCCTGGTGTAAATCAGGAGTAACTCCACTGGCCCTGATTCCCCCCACACTCACCCTGGTGTAAATCAGGAGTAACTCCACTGGCCCTGATCCCCCCTGCACTCACCCAGGGGTAACTCCAGTATAATCAGTGAAGCTCCCTGTTGAGGTTTTTCAAACACCAAACCAAATAGCCCCCTCAGCCCGTTTCCGATACTGAATCTACCCAGAAACAGACTGGCAGAGAGAGCGAGAGAGAAAGCAATACTGTTACTGAGATACCTTCCACCCGAGCCCCTGGCCTACCATGTCTGCCAGCAAGGGCTCCGGGTGCTGGACATAACAAAGAGGGAGCAGAGTCAGAAGAAACCCCAATAAAAATACTCATGGAGAACAGGTGTCCCTCAAACCAGGCACCAGGAGAAGGAACAGCCTGGGGACTAGCTGAGAGAGCCATGGAGGGAGATGGAGCTGATTTCCCTCCCCTCGGACCCCTCGCTTTCCACTCCCTCGCACCCATTCCACTAACCTTGCTCCCCTTCCCCTCCCAGGAATCTCCCCCTGCCCTCTGTGTCTCGGGACTGCTGCATTTCAGTCCTTCCCCGCCACATCTCTCCATCAAAAGGGAGCGTTACTTCCTGTAACCCCGGCTTCTGGAGATGCTGGGCCTGGCTCTGTGCTGAACCTCAGCATGGCTCCCCAGTTCCTGGAGGGATTTCCGAAGGGCTCCAGGCCCCTCTCCTCTGCTGCCACATACCTCTTAAGGGATTAACATGCCTCATTCGCCTTGCTGAGAGCCGCCTGCTAAATGCACCTTCCTTTGCGGCGCCCTGAGCTGGCCAGGCTTCTAAGGCCGCAGAGCCGCCTGGCTTAGCAGGGAGCAGAGCAGCGGTGTGGAAGAAAGGGGGGAACAGTCAGTGATTAACTCCTTGGCTTCAGCCCACTGTCAGATCCATCTGATGATCCATTGCTCTCACACCAGCGCAGGAACTGCAGGACCAGCACTGAAGGAGTTGAAGTGCCTGGCTGCTCATCCTGGCTTTGGTCCCAATGAAGGCAGTGATCCAGCTCTCGTTTGCTCTAACGGGACGAAGCATTGATCCATGCTCAGTGCTTTGCTCATGACTCTGGAGGATGTCGTGTCAGCAGGAAGGAGGGGTGGACCCCCAGCAAGGGCTATCCCACCCGCAGATCCAGATGCCCTCTGAGAGTATGTGCGGCACATTTGCTAGCCAGACCCCCCATGCTCTGCAGCAGTTGCTCTCCAAGCTGCCCCCTTCCCCAGCCAACAGGAGCTGGGCTAAGCTCCTCTCAGGTGTAAGCAGCTCTGGGCATGCTGGAAAACGGTACAAATGACCATGGGCCTTCGGAGCCACAGCACTGAGTCTGCTGCCATTATGGGTTCAGTGCAGGCGCAGTACATTACAGAGGAGACACACACACTGCGCTCGCTCTCTCTGTCTCAGATCTGGGGTTTGTCGTTCCTCAGTTAGAAGGAAGCATATGTGTGTTTTTTGTGGGTGAAAGGCAGCTTCAGACTTTAGGGGCAAAAACCATGGTGCTGGGAGAATGCAGGGACAAAGCAGAGCTGGAACAGGGATAGGGGGTGGGAGTGAAGTCCTCTGGGTTGAGAACGTGGGACAGGGGAGTCGTTTCTGGCTGTCTGCAGACTCAGGCAGATATCACTGCACTGGTTACACTTGGGGCCCATGTGGAAGGTTCATGAAGCCATGAATCCTAGACACTTACTGGTTTTAAAATGAAGGATTCTGGAGCAGCTGAATAGGTCATGCCGGCCACCTAACTACAGCATACAAAACGAAAAGGAGTACTTGTGGCACCTTAGAGACTAACAAATTTACTTGAGCATAATTTATTTTCAGTGGAAAATGCATCCAATGAAGTGAGCTGTAGCTCACAAAAGCTTATGCTCAAATAAATTTGTTAGTCTCTAAGGTGCAACAAGTCCTCCTTTTCTTTTTGCGAATACAGACTAACACAGCTGCTACTCTGAATACAGCATACAAGTTGAATCTGGCCTACAGGCCATATATTTGACAACTCTGGCCTCAGATACCCAGTTCCAGTGACAATGCTTTCCTACAGAAAGAGGTTTGTGTCCTATGGCTGACACTAGCCTGATTCTAGGGTGGGGAGCCGGTGACTAATAGGTTTTCCACGGGTAATGTTGGCCTGATTCTCCTCTCACACCAGTATCACACCTATGTGATTACAGTGAGGTCAGCAGAGTCACTCCTCATTTACACTGGGTGAGTGAGAAGGGAATCACGCCCCATGGAGTTTGGAATGGGGCACAGATGCCTGCATGCAAGGCAGGAAGGGGATAATGAACTCCTGGCACTCCAATTAGCTCAAACTGAGTCATCTGGAGCAGGCTTCCAGGGAGGGGCTTAATAAAAAGAAGAGAATCATAAAATATCAGGGTTGGAAGGGACCTCAGGAGGTCATCTAGTCCCACCCCCTGCTCAAAGCAGGACCAGTCCCCAACTAAATCATCCCAGCCAGGGCTTTGTCAAGCCTGATCTTCAAAACCTCTAAGATTCCACCACCTCCCTAGGTAACCCATTCCAGTGCTTCACCACCCTCCTAGTGAAAAAGATTTTCCTAATATCCAACCTAAACTTCCCCCACTGCAACTTGAGATCATTACTTCTTGTTCTGTCATCTGCTACCACTGAGAACAGTCTAGATCCATCCTCTTTGGAACCCCCTTTCAGGTAGTTGAAAGCAGCTATCAAATCCCCCCTCATTCTTCTCTTCTGCAGACTAAACAACCCCAGTTTCCTCAGTCTCTCCTCATAAGTCATGTGTTCCAGCCCCCTAATCATTTTTGTTGCCCTCCGCTGGACGCTTTCCAATTTTTGCACATCCTTCTTGTAGTGTGGGGCCCAAAACTGGACACAGAACTCCAGATGAGGCCTCACCAATGTCGAATAGAGTGGAACGATCACGTCCCTTGATCTGCTGGTAATGCTCCTACTTATACGGCCCAAAATGCCGTTAGCCTTCTTGGCAACAAGGGCACACTGTTGACTCGTATCCAGCTTCTCGCCCACTGAAACCCCTAGGTCCTTTTCTGCAGAACTGCTTCCTAGCCATTCAGTCCCCAGCCTGTAGCGGTGCATGGGATTCTTCCATCCTAAGTGCAGGACTCTGCACTTGTCCTTGTTGAACCTCATCAGATTTCTTTTGGCCCAATCCTCTAATTTGTCTAGGTCCCTCTGTATCCTGTCCCTACCCTCCAGCGTATCTTCCACTCCTCCCAGTTTAGTGTCATCTGCAAACTTCCTGAGGGTGCAGTCCACGCCATCCTCCAGATCATTAATGAAGATATTGAACAAAACCGGCCTCAGGACCCACCCTTGGGGCACTCTGCTTGATACCGGCTGCCAACTAGACATGGAGCCACTACCAGTTGAGCCCGAGGATCTAGCCAGCTTTCTATCCACCTTATAGTCCATTCATCCAGCCCATACTTCTTTAACTTGCTGGCAAGAATACTATGGGAGACCGTATCAAAAGCTTTGCAAAAGTCAAGGAATAACACGTCCACTGCTTTACCCTCATCTACAGAGCCAATTATCTTGTCATAGAAGGCAATTAGGTTAGTCAGGCATGACTTGCCCTTGATGAATCCATGCTGACTGTTCCTGATCACTTTCCTCTCCTCTAAGTGCTTCAGAATTGATTCCTTGAGGACCTGCTCCATGATTCCATGAGCCCTGACCAGTTGGAGAGAAGCAGATAGAGAGAGCAGCTGGTGTGGTAAGACTAGCTAAGGGTCAGGACTGGGACAGGCTGGTGCCTTGCAGATCTCCTGGAGGAAAGGGAAGAGTATGTGTTGTTTCATACTTGTTTTGCACTTTGAGAGCCTCGGGAGAAGTAGAACCACATGGGGGGGGCGCTAGCCCTCTGCAACCCAGAAGGCTTTGGAGGTAGAGCAGCGAAAGATAAGTGGGGAAACTGAGGTGGAGTAGCTGTTGCACTGCGCGGTACTGCTAGGGGGTGCTCTGGAAAGTCTGTGGTACTAAACAGTTACACCAGTGTGTAAATGAGGAGAATGGGGCCCAGTGGTTCTATCGCAGAACTGAATACATGAATAGATTTCTGGGCTCTGCATAGCCATGTTGCATAGACCAAATCTTCCCCCAATAGTGTTTCAGTCAGTCATCATGCGGGTGCCCAGTGATCAGTCCCAGGGATGGTGGAGTGTTTCTGAACATGTCCAGGCTGAGCTCAGGGCTCCCTTCGTTGCACCCCGTCACAGCAAACACACTGGCTTCCTCTTTTCAAAGCGTGTCTGGGCACCTGGATTACAGCTGGGAGATGATGAGCCCAGCAGCTAGCGGGGGGCCCTGCCAAGCCTGCAAGGCAGTTGAAAGGAAGGCAGGTGTCTTTTATCTTGCTCCTGAGAGGTGCTCTCCTAGTGCACAAGGGCAGGCACAGCGAGGAAGGTCCCCTCAACGCCAATGGCTGCAGGGAGACCAGGCCGTCCTGGGAAAGCGCCCTTGAGCTCTACCCAGGGCTTGGGGCATATCCTGTCCTGCAGAACCACCCCTAGCTGGGACAGGGAAGGGGGCTCTCCCCAAAGTTCACCTTGGGTTCCCCTGCCCCACTAAAGACCAGGCTGTGCTGTAAGGATACAACTGCCATCAGGGGGAGCTGAGCTTGTGTCCTGCCTTGTGTCCTGGGTTTGAAACTGTTCCCCTGCCTGACTCCTTAAGACCCCATATCCTGGTACTCCTCTGCCTGACCTAGGGTGGGCTCCTCCAGGGCCTGTTAACACTGAGGTGAGGGGCCCAGACATGCTGCACACAATCCATCCCTAGGGCCGTCCCCACTGCAGGGCTGGGAGAGTGACTGGTGAATGCCCAGTGCTGCAGGGGACATGCAGCGTCTCACACCAGAGCTCAGCATGGCTGGGCAGATCCAGCTTCTGCCGGCCTGGGGGCAGAGACTCGCCTCTGGCTGAGGGCAGCTGGGAGCTTTCAGCACCCGAGGCACAGCGAGTTCTGCCACCTCTCAAGGCCTCTGCACCATCCTTTCAATGGCTGTTTTCTCTCTCCTGTCCGCATCCTCTCCCTATTCTCCTTGTGCCCCTGCTGGTAGTAACCAGGCCGTTGGCTGAGGAGGGTGGCTGCTAGGGAACCCAGAAGGGGTTGTCTGGAAGGGTCTGAGATGGCTCCCTCCACCAAGGGGGCTGCCTCACCCCATTTCTCTGCTTCGTCTCTTTCCTGGGAGCCAGGGCCCAACCTTAGAACCTGGGCATGCACCATGGCAGTGAAATGGCGAGCCGCTAGGCTCCTGGGCCAGCGTTTGTTTGGGTAGTCTGCTCAGGACTGAGCTGGCCTGGCAACTGCAGCCAGGGTGGCTCCTAGAGGCCATGATAACCTCAGCCCAGAAGCTCCACTGATTGGGAAGGGATCATCTAGCGATCAACACAACTCCAGCTTGTCCAGCACCATGGTCCTGGCTCACGGAGCAGCTCCAAACAGCGGACACCTAAACGAAATGCTGGGTCCCAGAGCCGCACTTTCCAACTTCCATAATCCGCCTCCTGCATCTCTCAATTATAGCGTGAGCCAGGGCTACAATTAGCTCATTACAGCTAATCACTGTGTGTGCATCAGCTCCACTTCCCCTGCCACCCGGACTACCATTACCGCACACTAATAACCAGCTTCATCTACATTTCCTCTGGGAGGGCACCACTTCCCAGCCCCCTGCTCAAGCGATGGGAGCTGGGGGGACAGACAAGGCAGGATATACAGGGCCTAATCCTGGTTCCCTTGCTCTGAAATCCCCACGGAAGTCAATGGAAGCACTGCCTGAGTCCAGAGCTGGGGCTCAGGAGAGGATCAGTGGCTTTTGGACAGAGGTGTGGCAGCAAGACCACGTGTGATGTGATAGCTGTTTGCCAATCTCCCACGTGCTGATCCTTCTCTAAAATCCACCAGAGCTAAAGGATATCTCCCTGAGCTACTAGCAGTAGCAGGTCCTTTATCCTCA